GTGCAATTCCATCGCACACTTTCCTTGATGTATGGACATAATCTCACATGAGGTCTTAATGTGACAAGGGCAGGAATTTCTAGTTGTCTCAGATATTATTAAAACAGAACAGTGAGATGAAAAGAATGTGAATAACTTTTGAACCAAAAGACATATTGGAAGATACCATACATACTTTCTTACACGTGTTAATAATTCGTAGTGCCTCTAATTTGTTATTAATCACATAAAAATGAGAACTGGAATAACCATTAACACAATGACCGGGTTTTGCTTAATGATGACAAATTTTATTATGACTGTAAATCTACTCCATGTTAAATTTTTTTTATAATAACAAATGACGGGACAAACAAAATAAGTCGTGTGCGTAGTGGTGCCATTGTCACTCTGAGCTTTAAATCACAAAGATACTCCCGTCACCCAGAGACGTAAGTTGACAAGTCCCATGTACCTGAAATTTCACCAGCACCCTTACCTTTCAAAGCTGAAACATAGTAATGCTCACATCACTTCTTGCTGGTAGTACTTCCCAGGACGAATTCTTTTACAAAGAGCTCTACTGCAGCTAGAAATCTTTCTTCATCAGAACAGATGAGAAAGAAACTAACTCACGTTTTAGGGTCCACTGAAAATCCGCGTCACAGCCTTTTCCCGGCGGTGGCGGTAGCTGAGCATACGCCACAGCCATGCACATAAGATCTACTTAATACATAGTGTTGACTGTCTTTGTGGTCATCACGTTACCTTTTACTAAGATTTTATTTTTAATTAATTTTATTGATTTTTTGTTATTCTATTTTATTTTTCGTCACGTGGAACGTCGGTTTGTTTGAAAAAACAAATATACGCGATCAAATCCGGAAAAATAGTTTCATTTCCTATGTGTAACAATCGCGAAAACCTAAGAACTCGATATTTTATTTTTGTTTTAATTTAGCTTTTTCTTGTTTTTCTTTAATTTCTTACTATGTATTATTGTGTTGTGGCGTTATGTAATAAATGGTTTCTATTCTATTCTATTCTATTCTACATTTAGTGGCAGTAGAGCTCCTTGTGATAGAGTTCATCCGGGGAAGTAATGCTAACATACCATAATACTGCGTTCTGTTTTGAAGGGTACTTGTGAAACTATAGGCATATGCGACTTATATTTCATTACAATCATTCAGGAGTGTTTTATAAGTACAGTTAGTTACACGTTTAATTGTACATTTGAACGTTACGTATGCAAAGTTCACAACAGTTTTTCACAACGTATTTATAGTTAATAAATTGTTACTAACAGACATCTGGAACTTTACTGAAAACATATAGAACTTTGTTTAGAATTGGTGCCCAAATTGGTGCTACCCGGAATCGAATCTTGAACACTTTTATCTACTTGCGACAGTGCTAACCGCTATGCCATCGAGATCGTTAAAAGGAAATCTAACTGTAGCTGTGTGTGTATAGAAGCATTCGTTAACGCCATTTGCAAGAATATTTCGAAACGGGAAGTATTTCCTCCAACATTTCTCAATCGATAGCTAATTTAACGACAAACAATGGTCTCTGCGACTTCCCATGTTAGCACTTCGATAATGTACCCTTGAATTGTCAGTTACATGTACACTCGATACCTTAAGATATCTGACTCCTCTGCCAACCTGAAGACATCGACTGTACTGAGTTATTATACAAAATATTTTGGCAATATTCTTAGCGGTTTAGCATATAGAGGAGAGACAATTTACTATGAGTGTACAATACGTAAAAACGTATATTTACAAAGAACAAACCCCTAGAGTTTGTTGCTCATTATTCTCAGGGGAATCTGCCTTACAAATGAACAATAGAGTTGAAAATTAAAAATGTAATAGTTACAATTAATGAAAGTATTACACTTTTAAACTACACATTCAATGAAGTTTGGCAAACCCCAGGTCCTTGCGAAAGAAGTCCGTTATCTACCCAGGATGCTGCGAGAGGCCACTGAAATTAAAAAACATCCTAATTTCAACAGGGAAGATCCAGTATTTCCTCTGATGAAAAATCCCAAACAGACACAAGACTGCAGTACTAATTAATATGTTTTAGTTTATTCTAATTTCTATTAATAATAATAATAAATTGAACTTAATAAACAATTAATTCAATAAAATAATTCGTAAAACTGAATGCAGCGTCAATTGGAATGTTTCCTTTGTAAAATTAAAAATAAGGTATTTAATTAATAACTATTGTAACTATAGTGAAAAAATAGGGTGGCTTGCAATAATATTAGACATAACTGGTTGAAGACTGTACCACCTCAGTCAACCGTGACCATCGGATCTGTAAAGGGCCCGAAACGACGGTTTGTTGAAAAAACAAATATACGCGATTTAAATTCGGAAAAATAGTTTCATTTCCTATGTGTAACAATCGCGAAAACCTAAGAACTTGATATGACACTTTAATTGAATTGATATTCAATTATTTTTTGTGAATTACTCCATTAGTTTATAATTATTAATTGGGTCGTACTCGAACCGACGTCTCCTAGCAAACCGTGCCAGATGCTATGCTAACTAAGCCACGCAACGAACTAGCGGACTTCACAAATTTCTCTATGTGCTTGTTGTCGGATCATTGTATATTGGTTTTAAACGACTTTTGAGCCGAGTCGAAGGAATTTGTTCTAAGTGTAAAATGTGGGTATTAATAGTTATAATGTGACTATTCTCCAGTTTTTTTTATAATATGCTATTTAGGTGGACACAGAAAACTAACTTTCAGCTTGCTTCGTTATATTCTTGTTTTTTTATGATATCAAATGACAGGACGAACTGGTGGTAAGCGACACGCCTGTCCTTAACTGTTGCAGTGTCACTCGGAGCTTTAAATCGCTAAAGTCTGAGGGGCGCTGCCACTGCGCCCGACATCCTGAGACATAAGTCAACAAGACATATGTGCCTGTAATTTCACCAGCACCCTTACACTTCAAAACCATAATGGTCACATAAATAGGTATTGTGGCAGGAGTTTCCTGGACAAATTCTTTCACAAGAAGCTCTACCGATACCGAACTTGGAGCTTTACTGTTTGTAACTATCCTGTGGCAGACACACGGCACAGAGGTGAACGACCGCCAACCGACCTTGCCTAGGGAGCAATGGCCTTTGGCCGAAAACGAAAATTACAAATTTGGAATTCCTTTTTTGTCTCTTCACTGTTTTCTCAAGTGTCTGACGTTGATTTAGAAAGAGAGTTTTTTTAGGGGAAAAGTTTTAATGCTTTTATTCTTTAGGCACAGAGTTCGGTTACAAAAAACAAGGATTTTTTATAATTATTAGTACAAACAACGAACATTTAGGTAAAATTCCTTCGATCCTGCTGGATTCGACCCAACATCTTTTAACAACAACAACGAACCAGCGGACTTTATAAAATTGTCAATGCGCTTGTAGCATCTTACTTTCGGTTTTTTAACGACATATTTTCCGTAGCGCCATCTGTGAGTAATCTATTTCTTCACTCAGTCAGTTATTTTTTCTAAACGTATTTGCTGACATTCAATACAGTTAATTACAAGGATATTTTTTTTAAATTTACAAGTTTAAAAAGAATTAATTATAGGCGCCATTTTTGTGGTGCTGTCGACTGTTGTTTGGAAAGCATCCACACAATGGAAACAAAAATCAAGTTTTCTCAGCATTCCATGAATATTTGTAGGAGTTGTACAAACGGCATTAGAAACGTTGTTATTTAACTTTCGTTTGGCGCCACGACTTTTTCCTTGTAGAGGCGAGGGTGGGTTATTAATTTAGTAGCCGTTTCATTAAGTAAACGAAAGAGATTTATAAGACATTTGAATAAAAAAAAAGAGAAAAATTGTAAAGTATTTATATTACACTGTCTGGTGCTGCTTAATCGTCTGCATATAATAAGTTGGTGAAGTGAAAGAGAAGAACATGAGACTTGTCAACTTAGGACTCAGGGTGACGGGCGCAATGCCCTTCAGATCTTTGCGGTTTAAAGCTCTGAGTGGCACTGCAACTGTTATGGACCAGTTCACGACTTGTTCGTCCCGTCACTTGGTACTATAAAGGTTAAAGTACTTGCAGTAGTCTGCTGTACTATACTAATTTTAATAGTTTTATTGGTTTTAAGGTACTCTTTTTATTCAATATTAAAGAGGGTCAAATAGGTGGTGAAAGTTTTGTTCGGAATTAAATAAAATTCAATTTTGTTTTTTTTTAACTTCTATTAAAATTTAATTAAAACCAAAATTGAATTCTAAAACGTAACGTAAACGTAAATATTGTAAATAATCGTTAAAACCTAAAATATGCTTCCCTGAAAAATTTTTCAAAATGTCGTTATCGCCCTTTTTAGACACTACTGACGATATATTATTTTTACATGGCGAAACCAACGAAGCGTTCCCGTTTCTATCGTGGTCGCTACATCCGAAGTGCCCTTTTGAAGTCTTGGAGCTATTCGGACTTCTCATGTTAGAGCTTACAGAATGTTTACTTGATTATACTCTTATTTTATACATTCATTTTACTATATATTTGATATGTATTCTTATGTGCATTTGATATAATAAATTTATCCTTATAGTTATTAAGTATGTAGCATTCAATTTCTTGATTTATTACATTTTATTGCCACCTCAGGAGCCAACTTTCCTTTCAATTTTTCAAAGGTAATTTGTTTTGTTCTACAATAAAGTGTTTACATACATACATCATTACCCTCTTTTAATGTAGTTACCTCTGCCTACCTGCCTCGGTAGCCTAACGATTACCATGCTGGTCTGTCACGTAGAGGTCCTGGGATTAACTTCCGGGCTGGGAGGAATATTTATATGACCTACACTTATTTCTCCCCTGATTGTAACTCTATGGGTCTGTCCATGGCACCCGCGGTACAGGGTTTCCCTAGAGCAGGGCTACGAGTGTGTGCGTTATTATTATTATTATTAGTCGAGTAATAGCAACAAAAAATATCATTTTTTTCTCTTGTTTCAGCCCAAATCGAGATAATACCATGCAAAGTATGCGGAGACAAGTCTTCTGGAGTCCATTATGGCGTGATCACATGTGAAGGCTGCAAGGGATTCTTTAGGCGCTCGCAGAGTACAGGTCGGAATCTTCTTACTGTGATAATTTAGTTGTTTTTTGTCTAATAGTTTATTAGTTTGTTATCGCTGATAATATATAAACATCTCTAGTACTTACGTTTTTATGCGATTGCTAGACATAGGAAAAACTGAAACTATTTTTATCTCGATGTAAATTGCGTATATTTATTTTTTTGTTGAGTTGAACAATTATCTGAAAAATTTCAAATGGTGGAAATTTGCCTAAAAATATAATTCGAAGGCTTACATTATTACATTAAGATACACCTTTTAAAGTTTTATTGACATGAATAATAAAATAAAATTCTATTGGTCATAATACAGTTCAGTATCTTCAATTATTGACAGGTGGAACAGGAAAAGATACAGGAAGAAATTTTATGAAAAATATGATTTTTTTTAAATGAATATTTTTCCATGACCCAACAATAGTCATGACTCTGATATTGCTACAGTGCTGTTTTCAGTAAAAAAAAAACTAAAAACGAATGTCATTTGTGTATATTTATTTAGATTCAAATTCCATTTATTTGCCACACATATAAAAAAACATAATGCGTACAAATGAAAAGTCTTACATATAAATAGTAACTAAAAACATAATACTGTATCTATGATCACAAATATGTGGCGAGGATTCTAAGCTCTGTATTATTGATTTGGAAATTTGTTTTTTATTATCTCAATTAATTTATTACCTCAAAAGTCATTCATCCCCTAGTTTGCCACCTTTAAACCGACTTAAAAAGAGGAGGAGGTTCTCAATTCGTCATCAATTTCTTTGTATTTATGTTACGCTATCATTTGTGAACAGATTTTGATGAATCTTTTTGTTGGGAAAAGAGTACCTCAGTATGGGTCCCATTTAAATTTGAAGAAAATTTTCGCAAACTAGGGGATGAACCCGGTTTCCCGTACTGTCCGGTGACCGGTTTCAATAAAACTTGGCAAATAGATGTATTCTACGAACTTCTGAGATCGGTGTTTTAGAACTCTGTACTGATTTTTTATTATTGAGATCCATTATATCCAGATACGTCGTACTATCATATTTTGATATTTAATTTTACGGATTAAAGGGTTAAATAGGCGCTAAATTATAGCTCAACAAATATATTTCATACGGCAATGGCAAAGAGTCTAATACAAAAAGATAGCCCTAAAAAAAAATTTACTGTCCATCGTAATGGAATACTGGATCCAAAATGAATTATATAGTAGCATTTGCCACGTACCTTTTTCCAGATTACCATCTTCATATATTTACCCTTTGCCACTGTTATACTGTAATAGCCTTGTGAATTTATTTTTATTTATTTCCCCACTAAATTCTGCTTTTCCTCTTATTCGTTTACGTAATGCTATTTTTATTAGAGCTGCCAATAAGCCGAATTATGTTTTTAAATTTCAAATTAAAAGCAATGAAATATAGTTAATAAATCTTTATTAACATTTTATATCAATTAGTGTACTGAAAAAAATAATTGTAATCAAATACGCTTATTATGATTTATTAATTGAATTAATCACAACATGAATAAATTGCGGTGTCTACAGCGACGAATATACTTATACTTCTACATTATATCATATACAAAATTTACCTTGTTTATCCGGCTTTAGCCTGTAATCAGCAAATTACTGAGGCTGTTACCGTTTCTTCAATACAGCCGTTTATTTAAACTATTATTAAACTTAAAATAATAAATATATATTATGTATTGTTGTAGAGTTGGAGAACATTCTTTTATTTTTTTTATTTCTAGTTATTTTGCTTGACAGGCTTGAAACATTTACATAAACAGCTTAAGCAACATCATGTTTATATTTATCACTTTCTTTTTCAGCGCAAGTTAAAAATACTGAAAAGAAATGTAATTGAAATAAATAATTTGTTTCCATCTGAGTCTATGAATCACAATGATTGCAGTTACAACTTTAATAATTGCAAGCACAATTTCAAATAATGAATTTAATCATGTTACTAGCTCTTAGGCTTTTGATCGCGATTGCTACACATCGAATTTCAATTGCGTATATTTGTATAAAAATATAAAAGATATATTTGTATAGAAAAATAAAAGATCAGAAACGTTTGTTTATTTGCAAAAAAAAAATAAACTCCATTAAAAAAAATTATGTTGTGATTGATTCCATTAAGAAGTATGATTGATTCAATTAAGCTCCACTGGAAATGGTGATTTTTCATTGTAATCTCGCCCATCGTTGTACACATCTTCCAGTTTAGTTTACAGTCATTTGTTAAATCTTACTAATACAGTGTACTGTTTCAGTAGTGGTGAACTACCAATGTCCACGGAATAAAGCGTGTGTGGTGGATCGCGTGAACCGCAACCGGTGCCAGTACTGCCGGCTGCAGAAATGCCTCAAACTTGGAATGAGTCGCGATGGTGAGTGTTGAACCTTATGTTTATTTTAATTATTAATACAAAGATCGAACACTTGAAATTCCTTCGATCTGGCCGGATTCGAACCAACGTCTTCTAGCATAGCGTGCCAAACACTACACCAACTAAGTCACGTAACGAACCAAGAATTTTCCTATGTGCGTCGTATCTTTGCATTTGGTTTTTCAACGACTTTTTAGCTGTGGCGCCACCTATGAGAAATCTATGACATTTCGTCACCCAGTTAGATACCTTTACAGCTACCAGCCCCGGCTGTAGATGTCGCTATTCACTGTATTTTAATTTTTTATTGAATTGATATTCAATTATTTTTATGTAAATTATTACTCCACTAGTTTGTTTTAATTATTAATACAAAGATCGAACACGTAGAAAAAATTCTTATTTTTATTTATTCATTTGATTTATTTATTTAGGACAACTTACAAAACATACACATATAATTGGTCAAAACAGTAAATATAGTGGCTCGAGTTTTTGTCTTGTTTCATTTACAAGTTACCACGGCATGCGTTTAAACGTAGGAGTATTAAAAAAAACTAAAAGTAGTTGATTACTTACAAATTAACTGCTTAAGCTTAAAGTTACATGTGTTTATTGGTTACTCTACGTGTCAACTAGTTAGGTACAATTTTGTTAATATTTTGTTATTACCACTACAACTTACAACTTTAATTATTACAAAAGGACATGGATGCACTTATATGAAATACGTATTTTAAATATAGTAAATTATTATAAATAAATGTATGTTCACGTGAGTGGCGACTCAGGTAGCATAAAGTTATAATTTTTAGTATTTATACCAGTGATTCCCAAACTTATTTCGGTCATGGACCCCTTACTATATCAAAAATTTATTCGTAAACCCCCAAGTAAATTCACTTTTAATGGACCCCTTAATATAGCAAAAATTTATTCGTGAACCCCCAAGTAAATTCACTTTTACGAAATAATAAAACTACTGAAAAATATTTCTTTTTATCGCAATATTTTTTCTCTACAAAATTTGATTGCAAATTGTCGTGACAGAATCTGGTCTTATTTACTAAAGTGACAAAATTTATAAGAGACTAGGAACTAAACTAGATCAAAAGATCTGTGTGTTAGGCTTGCAAATCGTACCGATGGCATACAATGTAGTGCCTGCCATGGTGGTGAAAGATATGTTACGTTATGCGGGGAGGCTCTTATCGTGCACTCCAAACACTGAAGCATGGGAAACATCTCTTTTCTATTTCAAAAACATGAAAACTTTCGATCTTGTACGCGGACCGCCGGCAATTCTTCGCAGCAGAGAGAGAGAGAGAGAGAGAGAGTTGTAGTAGCAGTAGAGCTCCATATGCAAGAGTTCGTACAAGGAAGTACTGCCACCATTACTACATTCCAGTTCGGAAGGGTTAAGGTGCTGGTGAAATTACAGGCACATGTGACTTGTCAACTTATGTCTCAAGGTTTTTGCTGGGCTTGGGCTTGAACTTTGCGATTTAAAGCTCTGAGTGACACTGTAACTGTTATGGATAGGCGTATCGCTTACCACCAAGTGCACGACTTGTAAAAAAAAGATCACCTCATAGACCATTTTGGAAAACTTGGATCTATATGAATAAGGCTGTAGTCTCACGAGCTGGTTAACAAGCGGTGATCGCTTTTCAATTAACTGTAGTGAAGTTCGTATTAAACGTGGGTGTGCCATATAAAGACAGTACATATCGATTGAAAACGTTAAAGTGTCACTAGCACTAGATTGTAAGAAAACTTATTGAGATAGGTTTATAATATTAGTCATAAAAGAAAATCTAGACAAACAAGTTGGTCTAAGAAAGCTATTTACTTGATTTTTGCTATCGGCAACTTAGTTACACACTCACCTATAGCTAAAGGTATAACTCGACAGCTTTAAAATTACACTGGGTGACGTGATGAAAGATTACTGAGTTTGAGTATTGTTATTTTAATTTAAATTAATAATAATATATTTGTTTTGATTAAACACATCCAAAACTGAAATGAATGAACACAACATTAAACATAAACTAACAGTATTTTTTTAAATAACTCCAAGGGCAATAAAAAAAATCAAATTAAGAACGAAACAAAATATTTCCGTGTGTTGGGCCTCAAAAATTTGTCTCTGATATTTTTCTTTATTGTTATTTTACTTGCATTTTAAATAGCAAGAATTTAGTTAATATTACAAATGAGTCACGTTAGCGTAATTATTAATATTATTTTTGTTTGTATTTTTTTATTGTTTTTGTTTTTTTTATTTATTTCGTTTGTAACTTTTAATTTATTTACCGAGATGGTGAATGCCGGTGTACAGCTCGAACAAAAATGGTTTTTGTTTCTTAATAAATAAATAAATAATCCAAAATAAAAAAAATGCTACAGACAACAGAAGTAGATAATGGGACACTAAAAGGGAAGATAAAACTGAATTTGAATTTGTAGACGTTACGATTAGATGCCATATGCACATGATGGTGTGAAGATTACGCTACACTATACTTATAAATTATTAACTGATTTCCGTTACAGCCGAAGGGGGTTGATTCCAATAATATGAACAACTTTTACTACCCCTTACGAAAAATAATGCATCTGTTGTTAGTGCGGGTACAATCACACGTGGTTTAGTTAATATCCTGTATGTCACTTCTAAATTCGACTTTATATACTACGTAATACCAGTACTTTACCTTTCCAAAAAGCATTAGCCTTTATTGCCACAACTGACTTGATTTAGCAATTGCAGGAAAGAGAGTGTTCATTATTTTCTAGATTCTTCCGCGAGAACAGGAACAGAAATATTCTATTTATTTGTATCAATTAGTGAAATGCCAAATTATCTATAAGTAAATGCAACAAATCTATCTTTTACCTGCATGCAGTAGCAGAAGAGGCCCTTGAGAAAGAGTTCGTCCAGGGAAGTACTACTACCTTACCTATTTCTGCTGTCAAGCATTAATTACCATCAGGCGCACGACTTTTTCACCCCGTTACATATTATTATAAAAAAAAGAATATATTCATGTATTGGTATATAAAGACCTCTCTAGTAAAATTATTTTCTCTTATGATTACGCATCATCGACCGTCGACAGTGTCTCTTCTGTAATATAGTTCCACTGCAGTCGAGCTGTTTACCTCTTTATGACACTTGGTGTGTGTTAGTCCTTACAACCGCAGAGCACACCACTGTTGCAATGCAGTTTCGTAAAAAATAAGCCGTCTTTAAATCCGGCTGTATACGTCCTATATGCCACTGACGCATCTCTACCTATATCGGTCATGTGACTAGACGTGGTTTTAATAGTTTAGTATATAATTTAGATGCAGTAGAGTTCATCGTGAAAGAGTTACTTTCTGTACTTAGAGTACTGCCACTCTACCTATTTCTGCCGTCAAGTAGTAATGTCAGCATTACTGTGTTCCGGTTTTGAAGAGTAAACAAAGGTGCTGGTGAAATTACAAGCACATGGGGCTTGCCAACTTATGTCTCTGAGTCACGGGCGCAGTGGCAGTGCCTCTCAGATGTTTACGATTTAAAGCACTGAGTGGCACTGCAACTGTTATGGACAGGCGTGTATCTTACCATCAGCTTACCACTTGATAATTCTATAAAAAAAAATGAATTGAGTGATACGCTACCCTGGTCACGCTGCATGTAGTGGTGATGATAACCTGAAGCATCTAATGGAGACTGCGAAGATCGAAAGAAAGAGACCTAGAGGCAGGAACTTTAGACGATGGTCAGATCTGATCTCCGAATAGCTGGAGTCTACCTACCGATTGAGACAGATCATTGGCATGATGAAATAAATTACTCATCTTTTAGTAGACTCGGACATATTTCCATTGTTTCCCAGTCTATAATAAATAGGTAAGTAAAAATTTTGTGATCTCGCCATTCTGTGGCCGACCAACGTCGACGTATCTGAACTCGTCATTTTACGCGGTCTAAACAAAGTAGTCGCGTTACAAGGAAGCAGAGTAAGTTGAACGGCCGCTTATCACACCGATAAGAACATTAGTATGCGGTAGAAACACATTCGTCATTACAACCTGTATGGGAATGCTCGTAAATATTTATTGTTTGCAAATATCTTATTTAAAATTCTGAGAATTTATCTGTTCAAGGGGGACCCTTATGCATTTTATTATGTCATCAACAAAACATTATAAATCCCACATAGGCTAGCCACGTTTTTCCAATGCGGGTTGGTGACTTCACACTTTTCCTTTACCGTTAACGAGTTAAATATTCACAAATGTGCGCAATAAGATATGTATGCCGCCCTACTACGCTAAAAGGTGCTATCTCTGAGATACACCCTTTTTCATACCATTCAATAGCTATAACAATTTCGCATCTAATGGTATAATAGAAATAGCGCTAACTAACTTAAAACTTTTAAAAAACCACTACGAAGTATTTTTATATCTCAATTTTTAAAACCTTTCTTTATAATCAAAACAACGGTAACTCACAAAATTGGTATAATGGTAGTTAATTTAGGTTTGTTAATAAATCTATTAGTTAAAAATACGTACAAATAAATGTTAACATCTTCAAAAATATTTGTTTTTTAAAAGTCGATTTTCTCAAAACTTACTCCGTAAGTGAGAATCTTCATAGATCTCTTATAAATTTCAAATTTCAAAAACTCATAGATTCGAACCCAGGGCTTCTGATTGAGAGGCGATAGGTGAAACTATTAGGCTACCAAGACTTTTTAGTACTTGGGGCGAAGCAGAGAAGTTTGAAAACGTACTCAGCGCACGGGCACACGCCTCAAACTACGAACGGAGTACAGCCACTATGCAAGCAAAGAAAAAAAAAACAGTATAAATACACGCATACATAAAAAGTGCCTGTGCAACTGCATAATGCATGTCGCATGTAGAGACGCGTCGAGCCGACGACCGGTGCTGTTATGCAATCGACACGTAATGTAGGGATGGGATGAGGTATCGAT